GAATCAAGCTGAGGCTGTGAGCACTGGCTGGAAGCCTGGATAAGCGGGAAGAGGGCCATGGCCCTGGCAGGATCAGGTTGAAGTACAGCAGCACTAGTAATACTCTTGTGGTGGTAATTCTCTGGGGAGGGACAGGCACTTAGGGAACCCTAAGGCAAGAAGGTACTTGGAGTCAGGGAGTTGGAGAGCTGATGGAGGATATACAATTGATTGGACTGGGCCAGGACTGGGGTTTAGCCGATACTTTGGGAAGCATTTTAAGACTCTAGTCATAGCAGACACTTTCTCTGGGCTGAGTCTGCATCATATCAAAGTGACTGCCCAGTGCTCATGTCAAAACTATGAAGGCAGGAATGCATACTGATGCTGTTGGATCTAAGCCAGCTTCTTCCAGCTCTTGTTCCTTTCAAAGCATCTCTTCCTGTGTTGCAATGATCTGGGCAGTGCCCCAAAACTTCTCCCCCTTCATCACCACCATCTCAATCTCCTGATCCTCAAGCCTGCGTGCAGCCTTCTCGGCTCAAGTTATCTGAGGCTTACTTCACTCTATATTCCAGCAGCCTGCAGCCCTTCCATTTCTTCTGCATCCTGGTCAGTTGTGACTTTGCAGGCCACAAGGCTTGTGGAGGCAGCTATCCAGGCTATTTTCTTTCAAAAATAAAATCCTGAACTATTTATTATTTTATTATAACAAACATTTACTTAGCGTTTACTATAGTCCAGGTCCTATTCTAAATGTTTTAAAAAATATCAACTCAGATAATCCTTGTAATAGCTCTGTAAGGGAGGTGGTAATACTATTCTTATTTAGCGGGGCACTGAGAGGTTAAGTAGTTTCCCCAGATAAATGGTAACACCAGGCTTCAAATCCAGGAAGACTTGGCTCAATAGTCCTTGCTCTTTAACCACTGTGCTAAGTACTGTCCTGTCCTGTATGGTAGCCAATAGTCATATATGACTATTTAAATGTAAGTTAATTAAAATTAAACTTCCTCAGTTGTACTAGCTACATTCCAGGTGTTCACTAACCATGTGTGGCTTGTGTCTATCATATTGGACAGCACAGATACAGAACATTTCCACCTTCCTAGAATGTTCTATTGAACAACACTGTTTTAGAGCATCACTTTCAATGCACCAATATTAATTTTGAATTTTGTCCCTTGTGTGCTAGTTCTTATTTATTGTGCCCCTATTATGTGCCAGGCAATTTCTAGGTTTGGAGGCTAAAAGGACATAGGATCGCTATGAGTCAGAATTGACTTGATGGCAGTGTTTTTGTTTTGTTTATATATATATATACACATATATATATGTATGTATAAATATAAATATATATATTGTTTAATAGAGAAGACAGACATTAAACCATGGTACTGCAGAACAGTGGCATTAAGAATAATCTTTTGAATAAATGGTGCTGGAACAAGTGGCCACCCATATGGATAAAAGTGAAATGTGATCCTTATCTCACACCCTACACAAAAATTAATTCCTGTTGGATTACAGATTTAAGTTGGAAAGGCAAAGCATTAAAACTTCTGGAGGACAATAAGCATATCTTCATGACTTCAGAATAAAGAAAGATTTCTTGGATACAAAAAGCACTGATATTAAGGAAAAGATAGCTAAATTTGGCTATATTAAGAATTTCTGTTCATCAAAGTATCAGAGGTTGTCCCCTGTCATCCATTAGGCTGAATCTGCTCTATAGAACAGTTTTGTTTAGCACTCAGTACTTTCTCAAAAATATATTTGAATTAGTCACTCACATTTAAAAATTAGGACATTTCCAACAACTCTGTATTTTCAGTTTGGGGAAGTAAATCTCACCAAAACCAAACTCACTGCCATAGAGCCGATTCCGACTCAGTGACACACTTTGGGTTTCCGAGGCAGTAAATCTTATGGAAGTAGATTGTCCAGTCTTCCTTCCACAGAGCAGCTGGTGGGTTTGAACCACCAGCCTTCTGATTAGCAGTTAAATGCCTTAGGCTCCTTTGGGAAGTAAGAAGATTTGAAAATACAAGTTCCCATGATTCTGCATGACAAATAGCAGGAACTGTGCAGAGGCTGCCTCCTTTTGAAGAGACTTGTTCTCTCCAGTTTACAGAGGCCCCAAGTGGTCCTCCCTGCCTCATCTGGGTATTTGACTTTATTTCATTCCACAAACAGAAATCTGTAATTACCAAGTGTGATAAATGTTGAGTAGGAAAAAAGTACTGGCTTCACAGACAGAAAAAGAGAAAGGTTGTACACTTTGGATAGATTAGGGAAGGCTCTGCAGGTGACATGTGAGCCAGGGCAAGCTGGCAGGGCTGAGTGGTAGTTCAGCAGACTCCCTTTTTAAACTTCTTCAGGGAAAAGGTAGGACCCAGATGTGATCCTGTATCCTACTTTGTGTAGGTCTCACAATAGTCCTATTGCTAAGTATTAAGCACCAGAGGAAAGAAAAGTGAACCCAATCAGTCTAAAAAGGGCATGCTGACCAGAAGCTATGATCTAGGAATAATTTCCAATAGCAACACTATTAGGATAGGTACTTGTAACCAGTAAGCCGGGGACTATGGAAAAAGTATCAGGCATGGGGCAAAAAGACCTACAGCTTTCTTTTTATGTTTTGGAGACTTAAAGTCTGCCATGAAAATAAGAAAACGTGCAGAAAAGACACCAGATTAATGACTGGATCCAGTGATAATGAGCTTTCTAGGGCACTGGTCCACAAGAGCCCCACACCCTCACTGTGCTCAGCAGCTTGCAGAGGCAATTTCTTCTTTCCCTTACGAATGACCTGCTTTTTCCCTGATGCTGTATATTCTTTCAGAGCAGACAATCTCATTTCTCTGCACTCTATAGATCTCTTCAAAGAAAGCTCTGGGCACAAAGAAGATATATTGGGCGTGGAGAATAATATGAATACGGTCTCCAATCTAACGTTGTTATGTGCCAAATGTTCAGTTTATAAGAAAATGTCCCAAGGGTGAGAATTCTTATTTAAGTGCCGTCACAGGAATAAGGTTGGTACTTCCTAATCTGATGTGTTTTTGCATTTTTATGATAGGTTCCATATTCATCAAAAAAGAGACCACACTTTCTGGCCTTTAAAAAAAAGAAACGTAGCATGGAAAATATCCTCCGAAAATCGGATTTGACAGTAGGAAAGCTTCAAATGCAGGTAGTGGACAAAAGCTTTTACTTTTCTGTCTCAGAAGCATTGGGGGAACAGACTTAACTGAATGCACAGGACTGTTAGACAGCAAGGATGTGGGACGAAATGAATGATTAGCATTAGGATACAGTGCTAGTGGGGGGCATTGTGAGAGTGGTGAAAGGATTGCTAAGGGTCCCTAGGATGATGCTGGTGCTTAATAAATATTAAGTCAATTCAATTAAAACGAAGGCATGCACACAGGCTTCTTTTGAGAAGAAATGAGATTGTCTTTACCACTGGGTGGTAAATGTATGTTTTCAAGCTCTGTTTGTTATGACTTGAATTAGAATAATACCGGGGACTTGCAAAACATCCACCAATTCCTGAACTCACATCTCTTAGGAAAAACAACCCTCCCTTTGGTTTTGACAAGGGTTTCCAACACAGGCTTCATTTTTTTCTGTCACAGGTAGATGACCTCATAGAAACAGTGACTGATAAATCCATGAAGTTGTTAGCCCAAAGACATGCTGAGCTTCAGCAGTGTGAGTTTCTAGGGGGTGAAATTCTTCAGTCTTCTAAGCAATTCCAGAGGATATCCAAGAGAACCATGAGGAAGTACAAATTGAAAAATGTGTGTTTCCCATGTACCTACTGCTGCTTCTGATTTTGCCCCTGATTGTGTAACAGTTATTTTTGTAAGGATCCTTATCCTCTGATATATAAAATCCTGAATAAATGTCTCTAGTGAATTAAGCAGTTGTGTTATTGTTGTTGTTGTGTGCCATCGAGTTGGACCCGACTCATAGTGACCCCTCCTTGGGTTGCCGAGACAGTATCACTACGGAAGTAGATTGCCCAACCTGCCTACCAAGGAGTGGCTGGTGGGTTTGAACCACCAGCCTTCTGGTTAGCAGTCAAGTGCCTTAGCACTATGCTACCAGAGCTCCTGAATTAAGCAGTAAGGACAGTTTTTAGAATATTCTGCCTAACAGTACTTAAAAATATGACTTTTAATTCTGAGTCAATATAAGTAAATTTTGGCTTTGGCTTTATAATTCTTACCAATAATGAAAACCAGAAACAATTCAGGGCATAAGAATTCTGCAAAGAAATTTCTCCTGTGATTTGCCAGATGAAATTAGAGGAAGCAATTAAAGGTAATGTGACACTTTTAATGTGTCTACTACTGAGCTACATTTAAACTTACATTTTGAAAGATAAAAATTCTACTTATTAAAATTATAAAAATATAACATTATTAAGGTATGACTCATGCAAAGTGTCATGTTTCTGAACTAGTATAAATGGAGAAAGATGGAATCTAACAAGTATTAAATGTGTAATTCACTTCTTAAAAAAAAAAATTACAAGTGATTCAGCCTTAGCTTAATTTTTAAGATTATGAAAGCCTATATGCAAAATAATCTCAATAGACCTCAAACAAATCGTCAATAAGTTTGTTTCTACTGAAAATGACTCCTAAAGAACAATACAGAGAACACATAACACCAAAATATTTAACCACCACATTCTTCAAGAGTTAAGGAAAGAGACATACAAAATACAGTATATTGAATGCTTCGTATAACCTCTTACACCTGTGGTCCTTAATCTCTTCCCGGCATAATGAGCATAGAGCACAACATTGTACACAAAATTTCACAAGTTCACAGTCCTCTGGAAGCCTATTCATGGACTCCATTTTCAAAAGTAGTAACAAATTCTGGAAGTAGACATTTCTTCATGTAAATCCTAGAAACACCATCTTTTCATAATCTTCAACTTATTCTGTAAGCAATCAATGTTACCAGTTAAAAACTACCTAGAATATTGAGTAAAATAACTCTTTATTAAACATTTTTGTACTGTTGCTTCCTACTTTTTAAGAATAAAAAAGGAATTTTCATAAAACCAAATCTATACTGAAGTCATTTTCCTTTGTGTGAAGAAATACAAATAAAATGTGCATTAATTTTAGAAGCACAGGATTTCACTGCAGGAATTTTAAATATTTCAAGAGCATAATAACTTCTAAACACACTAAGATCATGTAGCTAGTTCAATATTCTTGGGAATTAGCCTGTCTATGGCTTAGGATCTGTTTCCAGGCTTGTTTCTTGAGCATCTTCTACCTCTGAGAGTTTTTCATCATCTGAAATTGAGATACATAAAACCTTAGTCAAATTTGCTTTAATTTTGGGCCTAGTGAATACATGAAAACATTTTTATCCTTTACTAGACAATACATTTAAATCAACGATAGCAAAATGGCAGTCTGTGACTGCAATTGGCTGTTTAAGTGTTTGGCTTGAAAAGTGCTATTTGGGTGGTGATTGTTTATTAGTTGAGCCAAAATTTTAAATTTGTGTGAGATTTCACAGAAAAAAGTATAGAAGTTAGGCTTTTCTTGAAAACAACCAGAAGATCGGGTAATTCAAATGCTATATGGCTAAGTCAATACAAAGAGTGAGTTTGCTGTAGTACACACCACTCACAATGTATGTAATTGCTCATATGCACTGAGTACTTCACTCACTTATCATTGTCTATCTAGGACCTGAAGCTTTATGTTATAGCAATGAACTGTAACAAACCCAGAAAAATTTCAAATTTATGCTCATTGAATATTTCTCAATTTAAACTACTATGTGCATATTTAAGTTGTACATGACTATAAATTAAAACTTTTTTGAATATCCTCAGAAAGCTTAATAATGGAAGTACTTCTAACATCATCAAGCTACACTACTATTCAGAAACTGAAGGTGTACAATTGGATGTAAATTCCTAAAAGGCATATCCCTGAATCGTTCAAAAATCACAAGCATTTGTTTTGAGACTATCTCTACTTACTTTCCAGTGTTTGCTGAAGTTCATGGATGGTGCTAAGAAGAACGTGAAATTGTTTGCGCCTCAATTCCAGCTATGTTAAAGAGAAAAAAAAATTAATGCAAATTGATCTAAATTGACATATATAATCTAAATAAAATCACAAAGGCTAACATATGTACAATACCTTGTCTTCAACACTTTCTTTAATATGTGAAAGATGCTCTAATTCTTTTCCCAGAGCTTCTAGTTCCCTGAAAAACATGAAAGTGTATATTTTGCTAACTGGGGGAACAGAATTCACAATTAACATCTAACTTTTAGGTTACTAACTAGTACTTTAAAAATGTAAAAAGAATAAGGGGTTACACCACTCCATCATGGGTGCTTATAGAATTGAGGATTTCCTTTTAACTTCTAGATATTTTAATACTGAGAACATTTTTTAGATAAATCTTTTAAGTATAGGAAAACACAGATAATGAAATAATATACACCATGAATTGATAACTTTTAAAACTTCATCATATTTACTTCATCTTTTTCTCAGTAAAAGAAATAAAATACTGCCATTAATTTAGAAATAATTTTAAATTCATTATTTCTTTTTTCTTAATTTTGTTTTTGAGATTTGTGTTTAAAAATGTATATCTAGTTTATTCTTTTAAACTATTTAGTATTCTACCTTATGAATATACCATATTGTATATCATATGCATTTATTTAGATCTACTGGTAGTAAAGGACAAAGAAGAAAGAACAAAACATCTAATTAAGCAAAATTAGAATATGTAGTATTGAAGCTATGACTGCTCCTTTTGAGACATATTATGTGTTGCCATAAAAAAAGGAATGCATAGGTTAGCACTTGAGCATTTAAGTATAAAGATTAGTTCATTTCAAAGTAAAGCTCTATACTTACTTTAATGTCTCATGCCTATCTGGGTGATGCTGGATTACTTTTGCTAAAGCATCATATTCTGAAAGACATAAAAATATTTACCAAACTATTTGAATCTGGATTAACAAAATAAAATCTGTAATATCATACATTTTTTCCTAATCATTTTCCTAGTAAAGAAATTAAAGGACTGAAGGATGGAAAGGGTATTTCCAATTTCACTTGATTCAACAACTGGAATAATACATGATATCAAAAGTATTCCAAACAGGGCTTTCAGCTCCCACTCCCATTTTTCCATTTAAATATCCCTGGGCAGAATATAAGGAGTCAACATAGGCAGGGAAGTGATCTTAAGTCATTATTGATCATCTAGTGGACTGATTCTGAAAAGGATCTTACCCTTATTTGTCCAGCAAAACTGATCAGTGAGGTAAATACATCCTACCATTAATTTCAGACCTTAGACAAATGTAAACTGCATTTCTCCTCATTTTAAGGTACAGATTTTAGAAACTTAAGGAATAACTTAAAATTCAGGAACCTTGTTTCTGCTCCACTGAATCCTCTACGATAAGTCATATAACTCTTCTAACCTTTCTTATGGAATGATGAATGATAGTATTCCTTAACAATTTCCTTAACTAGAAAAAACACTGTATGCAAAACATTTTTAAATGATCTAGGAATTAGTCTTAATTATTAAGTATGTTCTTATCTTGCTGTATATTGGCCACTGAAACTTGAGCACATGTGTTTTATAATAAATTCAAAAACAAATTAAAAAAAACTGAATTCATTAAAAGGTAAAGTTCATGGTTGGAACTCAGAATATTAATAAAAGGGCGATTCTTTTAATAAAAACAACTGTAGAGTATAAAATAAGGAGCTCTGGTGGTACAGTGCCTAAGATATTTGACTGCAAACCAGATATTGGTGGTTCAAACCCATCAGCCATTCCGTGGAAGGAAGACTGGGCAATCTACTTCTGTAAAGATTTACTATCTCAGAAACCCAAAGGGGGTCATTATGAGTCAGAATCAACTCAATGGCAGTGAGTTTGATTTGGTTAGATTATAAAATAATACCTAGTCATTGTAAAAAAAAAAGAAAAAAATAAAAGAACTTAAGCCATTAAAGTTAACAACCCTAAAACAGCCATTAACATTTTCTATTTCCTTCCAGTTTTCATATATACATTGTAATTGCAGTTATACATTATATAAGTTTCTAGTTTTTTTTTTTTAATTTATATTATATAAGGAGTAATGGCCCATTGACAAATTTTCTTCTATTATTTTGAAAAATTATTTTGGACTGCATAAGGACATGCCTTAATTTAACAACAAAGACAAACAAGACACAAACTTTAATCTCCTTTTGTAGGATATTTATGCAGCTTCTAAATGTTTACTTGCAATTGCTTTGTACTTAATAAAAACTCAGTAGATTTAAATTCTCTTTTTTTTTAAGTAGTTCTACTTTAAAAAAAAAAAATTCCTTGTCATTGAATTGTACATGTATGTTCTGTGTATATTTTCAACAAGAAAAATAAAATAAATTATCTACAAAAAATTCTAAATATAATTTAGTTTTGAAAATTGCCTTTGCTGATTAATCATAACATTACTTAGGTAAAGGAGTCTGGAGATAGTAAAATATTAATACTTGAGTATTAGATAATCAATAAAATCCAGCAAAGCTTTCTTCAGCATAGCGTTCCTTCTCCTCAATTTTAAAAAATAATATAGTATTAAAGAATTAAGTTTGGCTCCTACTTTTTTTTCTTTTTTAATATTTCTGGTTGATTCTAGCTAAAGATTTTACCTTAAAATATTAAAAACTGAATGAAAATACTAGTCAGTAATAAAGTATTTGCACACTAAATCCCTCAAAACCCTTACCTTGGCGATTTTTTCGTATTCGTTTTGCTTGAAGAATTTGCTTTTTGCACTCAGCAATTTTTTCATGTGCTCCAGCAATGCTACATTCTAATAAAAAATGTTTTTTTTAAGCTAGTATAATAACATGTATAATCTCTATTTTTAATCTTAAAATGTTTTTAAATTAAAGCTCCATTGCTAACAAAATATATGCTAGCATTTTAAAAACAGCTCTGACCCAAAGTATTGTATAATATTGGAATACATTTTTGTACTTAATATTTACTGTATTGTTTGTATTAATATTGTTATTGTGGTTTTAATTTCCACCAACCAAAGAAAAATGTTAGCTGATATTGTTTCCTTTAGACCATAAAAATTAAAATCGTACATAGGAATAAACTCAAACATTAATCATTTTAAGTTGCTTTACCTATTTCTTTGTAAATTTTTTCATAATTTTCCATTTCTCTGAGATTCATATCGTACACCAGCAGGGTTTTGCCCATTGAAAATTCACATTGTGACAGTGTGCTCAGCATACGTTGGTACTGGCTATAGCTAATGAAAAAAGAGAAGGAAACAGAAAGGTATTTGTAGATTGCCAAAATTAAACTAACTATAAAGCAGGGAGATTGCTAATTAGTTGATACCAAGCTCTGAGAGAATCTAGAATATCTATCCCTATGTTTTCTTTTTCCAAATGTGGTTTACTTGACTTTATAAACTGGTTTAGTCACAAATGCAAAAATATACTGACAAAAAATTGTTCTTGTCAATATAGGCTTTATTCAAATAACCACTTACTTGAATTGTTTAGAACACTTAAAAAAGTATTTTGATGGTATCTTAATCTTCAAAATTCTGTTCTCACAATTTTTTCACTCTATACAGTTATCTATGTAGAAAGCTAGTTCAAATGAGAAATTTTTAAGTTAAAGAAATTTTAAGAACATATATTTAACTTTGTAGCAGTTCTTTATTAGCTTATTAACAAAAATGAATATTCAATTTAGTTACTTTTATCTTACTAAGTTCTTATTAGATCTGCCAAAAGGGTCTTGAATTTGATCTTCATTTCTTTTTACGTTGGAATGTTTTAATCAACGTAAGACAGTCCTCTGAAAGGGAAAAAAAAAATGGCCAGAAAACTATTAGACATTTAGGGTGAGTGAAAATTTGAAATATTAAGAGGACCTTAATTTATGTTCTAGGGAGCTCTGGTAGCATAGTGGCTAACGCACTTGACTGCTAACCAGAAGGCTGGCGGTTCAAACCCACCAGCCACTCCTTGGAAGGAAGGTTGGGCAATCCTACTTCCGTAGTGATACTGCCTCGGAAACCCAAGGAGGGGTCGCTATGAGTCGGGCCGACTCGACGGCACATAACAACAACAACAACAATTTATGTTCTAAAATCACATCAGGGCATTGGTACAGAAACAACAGTGAAATGAAATACCCCTCTTCCTGGGATCCAGAGTTGCACCATTTAATGAAACTCTTCACTAGCAGATTAATTCTTCGATCATCTCCAGCCCCATCTCCATCAATTAGGAGACGCTTTCGTATGACTTCATCTGGTGGAAGGAAGATCAATGCGAGTTAAAATCACCATCTGGCTCTTGTCACTTTCAGGGACAAGAAGCCAGTAGCCCTTCTCATACATTCCTTTACAAGAAAGTTATTGAGTGTCTATCTGTTGTGTGTCGGGCACTGTTTAGGGGACTAGAGCAGTGAAGACCCTGTCCTTACAGAGCTGGCATTCTACTGGCTTGTTGAATGGAAATAATTTTCAGGTACCACTGATGAAATAACCCAATAATTCTTGCAGAACCTTTTTTTCAAAAGCCTGTCCAGACAGAAGGAAAGTCTTGAGTATTCATGTCTCTGGCTACTGTAAAAAGAGGCACTGGTGAAAGAAATAGAGAAAGGAAGATTTAAAAGATGTAGTGGCGGGCTAGAGAGCGAGACTGGAAGGTAGACCAGAGAAAAATGAATGGCTTTATTAAATAAAAAGGTAATGCAGTTATCATATCTGTACATTTCTTTCCTCATGATGACTTTTCTTTTTAAATCTGGTCTCACTTTTGTTTCAAGGAAAATAAAAGGGAAGGAAGAAGAGGAATGGAAAGCAGTGCAGATGGTAACAGTGAGTAGTAACAAACACAGCCCCCAACCTGTCTGCTCTGCAGCCCTGAGCGAGCACTCTGGCCTGGCCAACACAATGCTGGGTCATAACAAGAGAAAGGCAAAGTGAAACCACAATGAAATATTTTTCATCTATCAGAATGGCAAAGATCAAAAGACTTGATAATAAAAGTATTGGCAATGGAGTTGGGAAACTGCATTACACACTAATGGAAAATAAAACGGGTTCAACTCTTTGTAGGTCAGCTGATATTAACAAAATTTAAAATGCATATACCTCTCTGACCCCATAATACCAGTTCTAGGAATTTCTCCTATAGCTCTATACGCACCCATGCACAAAGGCAGACAGAAAGAGATGTTCTTCACAGTGCCCTCTGTCGAGAGAGATTGCAAACCTTAACACTCACAAGTAGAATATGGTTAAATTGTGAAACATTTATAGAATGTGATATTATGCAGCCAAAAGAATAATGTGGATGCATATATTGATCACCCCCCACCCACCAAAAAAAAAAAAAAAGAAACCCCTCCATAGAATGTTAAGTAAAATAAAAACAAACAGATGTGGAGAAGCACATACAGTATGTTGCCATTTATGCAGAAATGAGGGAGGTTTTATGTTTGTATGGGGGTGTGTGTGTGCACACATGCACATATATATGTGTTTGCATATTTAGAGAAAGATACACAAGATTGATTGTGGTGAGAGGGACTGCAGAAAGACGTGGAGAAAAGACATAATTTTCCTATATACCATTTGTAGAGTTTGTTTATTTGTTTACCACCATATGCCTGCATTGTTTTTTGTGTTTTTTAAAATAAATTTTAAAGTGTGAATAATTCCTGGAGAGCCTGCATGATGAATCAACATCAAAATCTTTAAACAATAGTTCCTGTGTGTAGGCAGAAATATTTTTGAGCGCAGGTGCAACGGAGATAAATTTTGGAAGGCAGATGACTCCAGTTTTAAAATACATTCTCTGACAACATCATATAAACATTTTTAGAATTGGGTTTGGTTCTCAAAGTCATGGCTCCGACAGACTGCCCAAGCTACATATTCATCAGGTGTTTTAATTTTACTTTTTAAGATACAAACTAAAGCTTTCAGATTTTAACCACCAACAATGCTACTTAAGGTGACTGAGACAAATAAAGTATAGTCTCGAAGAGATTAAAATGCAGGAAGTGAATATTATTTTACCACAGACATATTTTTACTTTTTTAAAATAAAACTACATATCCAGTGGGCAAGGTAATCTGGTGGCACTGATACTGTTCAACATTCCTTTGCTGGCCTTATTTCTGCCTTTCTCAAGGCCCCAAGAAACCCTATCTTCTTCCTTCTCACCAGATGCCTGCAATTCCTTTACTGTGAGGACCAGAGGTCCAAAGTAAATGCATTCACAGGATAGACAGGTAACATCTGAGGGAAACAGGAGTGAGTGCCCTGCCTGAGAAGGAAGCTATTGCCAGATAGGATTTTTTAAGAGCTTCTTGAAGTTTAGCAACTAACTAAAAATGTTTGAAACCCATTTGCCATCATTCCAGCTATACATTTAAACTTGCTCACTTCTATATATGTATGCAATACTTTAATTACAAAAGTTTTTAAGAAATGTTTAAAACACTGTACAGACCAAAGAAACCAAATATACAGGTTGGTCTTCTCTTCTCTACATGGGAAAAGGTTCATGAGGCCAGTCCTTGTTCCTTTCTGCTTCTTCCCCATTGTCTCATGCTATGTCTTATATATTTCAGATATTCAAAAAACAGTTTTAAATTGGGTTTGGTGGTGCCTGCATGGGATCATCTGCCCACTAAAGAGCTTTGTCTTAATAAAACACTAACAAGGTCTAGCAGATAACGATCCACAGCAGAGATTCTTTACTTGTACAAAAGACAAGGATATTTGATCAATGAGCAGATGGGTTCACAAAGTATACAGAGTAAGTTCTGAGAATATGAAATAAAGACTCAATCTCTTTCACTCTATTTGGAGAAATAACACATACTCATAAAGGAGGCCATGGTGGTTAAATGACTGACAACAGACACACAGTAGAGAAGATGGTTGTTATTGTTATGTGCTGTCAAGTCAGACCCAAGTCATAGTGACCCCTCCTTGGGTTTCTGAGACGGTATCACTACAGAAGTAGATTGCCCAACCTTCCTTCTGAGGAGTGGCTGGTGGGTTTGAACCACCAGCCTTCTGGTTA